AACTTGCAGTTTCCTGACAAACAGCAGGATAACTGGGGCTATAGTTGAGCTGGTGACGAGCCTTATAATTGAAGTAGAGTATTCAATATTATAATTTTGTAACTTTACAATGTTAGAATTAAGATTCCAAAACATTGTGTGTACCCTGTACAACTAGAAGCAAAATAAAATGACTCAATTTCAATCTAATGAATTATTGCGATTCAGCTTAATAAGTTGTTCATTTGTCAAGATGCACTCTCTTAAATGTTTATGAAATTTGATAATGCATGGATAATATGAAAATTCAATTCATTATTAATGCAACTTGCTATCTGATAATAATAATTTCCCATAAAATTAAACCTTCTTGACATAATGAAGTGGGTATAACTGTAAGACTTGCCTAATACATCAATTAGGGTTATAGCCAATATTAAAAATGCTTTCATATTGCAGAGAAATAAATTAATTGTTCTAAGAGAAATAAATAAATTGTTCTAAGTTGGAAGGGAAAATTGGTGTCAAAGTTCAAAAAGTATTATGTCCAATTTAACTGAGTAAAACATTGTGCAGACTTGACTTAGCAAAGTATTGTGTAAACCTACGACTGTCTGAACCCTACAATTATGATTCACAAAATTTACAAATATCCTAGATAATTGGCGGCCCTAAACTTTGGAATTAATAAGTTGAATATCCGATCCATAACAAATATCAATTAGTCTGAAGAATTAGTGGAAGTCTATTTGGTGATCCCGGCAAGTCTCGCGATGGAATCCCTACTGAACTGCATTATAGTCCAGTCTGGCTGATGTCTTCCACCCAGCTGGTAGTAGAATTCTTTTGCTCCGGCAGCTGAGTTTAATTCCAGTCGAGATATCCCCGCTCTTTCGCTCAACTGTCAGAGAAAAATCACTTTCAGAAATAAGTTTTGTGGGATGTTATGACTAGTGATATATTTACAAACAGTGTTTTATAGATACTAACATAGGCCCTCTAGTGTTTACAACAAAGAAACATACCTCATAAACATATTAAGTTATTATTGAAACAGTAATTGAGCAATAGGAGAGTGTTTAATGTAGACCGCTTAGCAGATTAAAAACCGGAAAAGCTCCGACGATAACAACTTACGACAATTATAATTGCTGGAACAATTAATCTAAGTCACGATCGGCAGAGAATGTTCCAGCAGTTTCATGGTTTATTAAAACTATGGCCCTTTCTGCAGAATCGAACTTTCTGGCAGACTATTCACTTCCAATAACCGTCAAACTGACACATATTTTGTTGAAAGTTCCTAACTTGATTAATAAATTAATAACCTTTGCTAAATGTGTCAGTAAAGCCCTGCCAACACCTTTTCCTCTGTATTCTGGCACTACGTACAAATCTTCAAGTCTCAGGACCAGACCACTCCAGCCGAATGTTCGGCATGTCAAACCGTACGCCAAAATACCTGATCAGCATATTTTGAAATTATTTAATTCTTTTACGTTAACTTTAATTAAGACTACATTAGAGATATGAAAATTAGTTTGTTTAACAATGCAAAGAAATACTTTTCTTTGTGAAGACCACAATGTATATCTCTCATGGAAATCAAACCACACTGTCACACACTGACAAATGATCAAATATATATGGACACGTTCATTTGAGTTTGAGGATATTGGTAAACAAAAATAATCGCGTTTTCGACGATAGTGGCTTAATTTTGACACCTATTAACCTAGCACGTTCAGAAGTTCTGAGCATTAGCCACGTAACACATACTCCCATATGCACTGCTCAGAAAGAAAATCTATTGTTGTTAAGCACTATAATGTTTCAAATGTCACATTTTGTGTGCCTTAGTTAACTGTAGTTGTCTAATTATCATTCCTTGGTCTGAAATATAGTAGATTAGGTCAATCTAACAATTATGATACAACATTGGTTAAAGGGCATGGATCGAACGGTTACAAGGCAATATTTGGGTAACTTTGTTACAGTCAGAATACCATACCTCTATTCTACTGTGAGGTGTCCTCAAAACCCTTTTAACTTTTTAACTCATTATTTGATGGTTGATGTACCCATCATAGCCCTAAAATATATTGTTTTGAATAGTTAGCTAATACAGGCACTTGGTTATTGGGAAATGAGGTTAATTCTGTCACAATATATGGAATTTTAAATTTTGGGCGAATTATTTATATATTATGATTTTGATTTGAAAGGCGGGAAAACTTTATATGATGACAATGCAGTTGATGTAAGTTAAGATCAGTTGATGTTTACACTGTCATAAAAAATGATACGAAATCGTAAATAAGTTAAAAACAATGATTACCTATAGAATGAAATAGTCTCTTATAATAACTCTTATAATAACTGATGTGACAAAGTAAACATTTCTTGCCCCTATTTTGAAGATCTATATATTCAGTAACTCTATTAGAATTCAACATTCTTTCAGAAAAAATTGGTAGAATATTGTCCAGAACATCAGAGCTCAAGTTTAACAATTTTAGGTTAAATTTGTCAAAGTCACTAAAAATGTGACAAAATTAACTTTTCCTGCCCCAACAATTGCAAGATAGTGTGTAAAAATTAGCATAAGCTGCTTTATTACCTATATAAATCAATCCAAACAACAAAAGAATATATGTTAATGTTATGACGATTACCTAACTCTAATAATAACTGATGTGACAAAGTAAACATGTCTTGCCCCTATTTTGGATATCTATAACTCTATTAGAATTCAACATTCTTTCAGAAACGATTGGTAGAATATTGTCCAGAACATCAGAGCTCAAGTTTAACAATTTTAGGTTAAATTTGTCAAAGTCACTGAAAATGTGACAAAATTAACTTTCCCTGCCCCAACAATATCAAGATAGTGTGTTAAAATTGGCATAGGATGCTTTATTGCCTATATTAATCGATCCAAACTACGAAAAAGATCTGTTAATGTGATGACGATTACCTAACTCTTATAATAACTGATGTGACAAAGTAAACATGTCTTGTCCCTATTTTGAAGAACTATACCTCTATTAAAATACTATGTAACTTTATCATCAAAACTACTTATAATAATTTTTTGTGACGAAATTACCCTATTTTTGACCATGTTGCGGTAGTTTAATTGTGACACTGTTAACATATTACACCCGATAATGATTTATGTGACTGGCGCATGGTACTAGCAGTGTTGTTTGATCCATAGTACGTAATATAAGGGGTTTAAGCTGGTCTATCATTATTTTTTCAATTTCACACATGTTCAGATATCATCAAGATTATGTGACAAAGTAAACTTGTTTGTGCCTTCTGTGTTTTAATTCCTTACGACTATATGCAATAAAATAACAATTCCTAGCACTTCCAGGCCATCAAATAAACCTACACTACTCAGCATTGCTTATCAGGGTGCCCTAAACATTCTTCACATATTTTCTTAAATGTGTGACAGAGTAAACCTGAGTGCACCATTTAACGAAAAAAGTCGTAAAATATGTACTTACTTTTTACTTTGGGCGATCCTCAATCGAAATCCCATTCACTGTCTGCCTCCACACGTCTCGATCGCACATAACAGTTCGAAGGTCGTCTAACTGGAGCCCAGTGTCACGAGCTACTACGTCCAGGAAGGTGAGTGGTCTCCTTCCACGGCCCGATTGGGCAAGTCGCCAGGGGAGGATAGTGGAGATAACTTGGTCAGAAGCTCTCATGCAATGCCCAGCAAATCTGGAACGCCTCGACGCAACCACTGAGGCAATAGATGGAAGGTTGCCATAGATCTGCTTGAGGGTTGGATGCTTCTTCCACGAGATGTTCTTGGCCTTCATTAAAAGACGGGTGTAGCATCCGTTGAGGCGTTTCTCAAGCTGCTTGTTTATGGTCCGTGTCTCTGATCCATAGAGCAATACTGGTTCGACACAGGCTCTAAAGAACTTGACTTTCAGTTGTTCGGAAATGCCAGAGGACCAGACTTTTTGCAGTTTAATACAGGCTGACCAGGCCATTCCTTTCCTTGTGTTGAAATCCTTTCTACTGTCCGCAATGAAAGAGCCGAGGTATTTAAAGTCATCAACCTGTTTAATCTGGCGGCCTGAGATAGAATGTAAGTCGACAGTGTCAGGGATATTGATGGTCATGAACTCGGTCTTAGAAGCATTCATAGCAAAACCAACTTGTGCGGCTGCATTTTCAAGGTCTGTCAGCAGAAGTTGGACTTGCTCTATGGTGTCTGAAATTAAGGCCAAATCATCAGCAAAGTCAAGGTCTGTGATTTTGACCGCAGGCACTCTTCGGCTTTTCCTAGGCACGATGTTAAGACCGAATTCGTCACTTATGCAGCTTCTGAGGACATAGTCAAGGACGATGATGAAGAGAAAGGGTGCTAGAGTGTCCCCTTGAAGAACTCCAATAAGTGTCCTAAAAAAGTCAGTAAGGCCGTCGATGGTCTGGACACGAGAGAACGATGAGTCATAAAGAAGCCTGATAGCATCTACAAGTGGAGTAGGGATACCGTAGAGGGAGAGGATGTGGAAAAGGGCATCCCGGTTAATGCTGTCGAACGCTTTCGAAAAATCGACAAACACAATTGCGGCTGAACGATTTCCGATCTTGCATTCCTCGAGTATACGACGTAGGGCAAGGACCTGTGGGAGTGTGGATCTTCCTCTACGGAAACCATTTTGGTTTGGCCGCAAGAGGGGATCAATGAATGGGTAGATCCGGTTGAGGATGAGCTTGTTAAAAACTTTCGCTGCAACCGGTGCCAGTGAAATGCCACGGTAGTTTCCTGGATTAGTAAGATCACCCTTTTTGGGGATAGGAATGATAGAGGCCGTTTTCCAGGCTTGGGGGATCACACCATCCATGAGTGCTTTATTACAGAATCCGAGGAGGTTTTCACGTAGCTGGGGAAGCTTCCAGACTGAGGGAGGGATGCTATCTAGACCGGGTGACTTGGAGGACTTGGCGGACTTCAGAACCGTGTCGAGTTCTGACATGCTGAAGGATTAGCAGCTGATGGGCAGGGTGTCAGAGACTCGCTGGTTGAAGAAGGGGAGGGTGAGGTCCGGCGGAGGCTGTTCTGTGCCTAGAAGGGACTTGAAGTGCTCGAACCAGATGTTGAGCCGTTCTTCGGTAGTGCCTCCTGGCACTTTGCAGTATGGCACAGTGTCGGAAGATGTTAGTTGCCTGATGATGTGCCAGGAACTGCGATGCCTGTGATCAGGGTTAGTTTTCTCCAGCAGGTCAGTCTGTTGTCGAATGTGTTGTGAAGTAGCAGCATTATAGGCTTCGTCCAGTTGCTTCTTTGCGTCTTCAAGCTTTTCCTTGGACGAAAAAGAGGGGGAAATCCTGTGACTCAGGGACGCATCCTTTAGGATATTGCGATGGTGTGCAATATTAGGATCGTTGTAAGGATTTTCCCGTTTCCTCTTCCTCTTTTTTTGCAACACCTTAAGTGCTGTGCTTGTAACGCTTTTAACGAGCAGGTCGTAGTCGGACTCAAGCTCTGCTTCCTCTAGGAGTGCACTGTACCTGTTTTTCACTTCCACTGCATACTGGTGTTTCATGTTGGAATCGTGGATCAGTGGAGTCCAGTCAATGCTCCTAAGAGGGTCCCGTGCTGGAGTTTTGTTGACTCTGTAGCTGGCTTGAACAAAACATGTTACAATCCGGTGATCTGAACCGACAGTTTGCATGATGTTGTACGCTTGACAGTTCTTCACACTATTTGCCCACTTCTTCCGCCAGAGTACAAAGTCAATTTGATGCTTTGCTCTTTTGGGGTCTTCATAGGTCCAAATTTTATTAGCCGGTTTCTGGAAACAGCGGTTAGCAACTATCAGCTGGTGTTGGTCTACCAGATCCAGTAGTCGTTCACCGTTGTCGTTGGTTGACATATGGTATGTGAAACCGTAGCTATTACTGAGCTTCGCGTTGAAATCACCGCACACTGCTAGCATGTTGTGAGGAGGTACCTTAGAGATGATCCTGGTTAGAGCGTTGTAGAATGCAGTTTTTTCTTCAATATCACTGCAGTTAGTAGGAGCATAACATGAGAGGACTGTGAGGCGAGGATTCCCGTTTACATGGAGCAAGATGATTCTGCTATTAACTTTCTCTACAGATAGGAGAGATTTCTGAATTCTAGGAGATAAAAGAAACCCAACACCACCAACCGATGCATTAACTGAATTCTTCGTAGCAGAAGCAGTGATAAGCTGATATGATAAGATGTTTTCAATTCTTAGGGATTCTTTGTGGTGTTGGCGATGCTCTTGCAAGGAGATAACATCATTATGATGCAGGAAGGCTGAGTGAGCTAACTCCTGTTTACGTGATACAGGGTTGAGAGTCCTACAGCTGAAGGTGCTAACCTGAAAAGGGATTTTCCTACGAACTAAAAGGGTAGTAACAGGGTTGCTGCAACTATCAGGACCCACCCCTCCCGGGGGTTTTAGGGAGGGCCCGTCATACAGGGAGCTAGCTGCCACTGAGTAGTTAGGGGCTTGAACCCTAGTGCTGTTATCGTGTGTCATCATAAAAGTGAGGGGGGATTTTGTCTAATGGCTAGACATTGTTCCAGGCACGGCGCCACTGCAACCTGGATGTGACACTATAATCCAATACCCTCATCAGTAGGTACAATCACGGGTGCAGGTCTTCATAAACTCGGCTTGTTTTTCGAGGTATGTGCTCCTCTAGATCCGCCGTGTTTAGTTGACCCAGACAGTCGGATTCTTCAATGACATGCCGGTCTAGCAGGGTCACCTCGTGCAGGATGTGGCTCTTCACCACGCACGGACGGTCTAAGCTCGATCTAGAGTCTAGACCGAGCCCTGGCCCATATTACAGGACCTTGAAACGGATCAGTTCAAAATGAAACAGAACATGACCCTCCCCAAAAACAGAACATGACACTCCCCAAAATATGTAGGTAATGGTCATATGTACCCATCCAATCAACTGGACACTCAAAAATGTGGTCAAAAACGGCAGCAAGGGGTCCATATTTACTCCGTCACATGTTTATAGTGTGACAATGTAACCATTTCCGTGCCGACCGTATTTAAGCGATATCTTATCACCTGATTAAGATATCGTTATGTGACAAAGTTAGCCTAGAGGATGAGACGATTATCCTAACCATCAAGGGTTTGTGTAATTTCATAGTGTGACAAATTCAACTACACTGTGCCTTTTAATAGGGTCACTTATATTTACCAATATCCTCAAACTCAAATGAACGTGTCCATATATGAGTTGCGGTTACCTGTGCCATCCTTGTTGCTGGCAACCTTGTAGACCTCGAAAGAAGAATTGGTTTTCAGGTCACTTGGCCAGCCAGCTTCGGTGAAGTCTGTCTCTTTAACTGACACTGAGTGTCCTAATTCGTCTGCCAGCCTCTGAATCGAAATTACTAACTTATCAAAAAATGTTCCAAATAAATCTCTGAGACTCAAGAGGCATGAAAAATGAATTTTTGCTGCAAATGGGTACTATGAGACTACTATGACTATAAGAATATATGGTGATACATTTAACAGGGTTCCCTTAATGCTACTAGATGATAGATCTAAGTCAATATAGATTAAGAGTTGGTATTTATAACAACAGTAAGAACCGCAGATCTAAGCAGGTTAGTATAACAGGTAACTTTGTGCCCGACATCGGGGTTCTTGATGCTTTAAGACTTTTTGTTTTGATTTATTTGTATCTCTATTTTGCATTATGTGTGATGAGTGTGACGATTGGGATGGCTTTGGAGTGTCATTTTAGACCTTTTACTGTCACAGCCTTCCACAGCATCTCAGACAATGAATTTATTCATCTCTTCCACAGTCATAGCAAAAGCTATGCTGCGGTATTAATGTTTTTTCTCTTCAAAAAAGACTGGTGGCTTTATAAAATATTAGGGGCTTCTCCTGGCTTACTTGGCAAGCTGAACTTCACTGGTCTTGAAAACAAGCCAGACAGTTACGGATACATTCAGCTAATTATGCACTACCTCAATATTATTACTGTTAGCTGCATGCTTTGGATACATACCTTGAACGCTGTTCTTTTAATTATTGTCAACCCAAGCTTACTTAACCCTGGGCCTACTACATACCTCAAGGTTGTTTCTTTTAATACGCATGGCCTGATTCCCTTCTCACAGCTACAGTCCGACAATCCTTCTTTTGACAACACTAAAATATTTGAACTCCATCACTATATTCACTGCCATGAACCGGACATCCTCCTGATCAATGAATCTTGGCTTAAAAAGTCTATCATTGACTCTGAAGTCATACCTGAATCGTACAAAGTTTTTAGACTTGATCGTTCCTTACAAACCCATCCACCAGATCCACAGAATCCAAGAAGATTTAGGAAGCATGGGGGTGGCGTTTTAGTTGCTATACGTAGGGACATTGATATTGTATCTACTAAGTTAGAGTACAAGTGCCCGGCAGAGCTTCTTGGTATAACACTCAAATTTAGGGACGGTAGTAAACTAATTCTTTGCAGCTTCTATAGGGTAGGTACTTTAGGGGCCAACAATCATAACGCCTTCCAAGATTATGTTAGGAAGGCAAGGCAACGTAGAGGTGTTAGAGGTATTGTAATTGCAGGGGATCTTAATCTACCTGGTATTGATTGGCAGAATTACTGTAGCAGCAATCCGGTTGAACAGCTCTTTCTAGATACTTTTAGTAACTTTGGTTTAGAACAACTTATTACCAGTCCAACACATACTGGAGGAAACATTCTTGATCTAGTCTTAACCGATAAACCCCATCTTATCTCCGATATACAAATTTCAGAACATAATATTCCATGTAAGTCCGACCATTTTGCAGTCTCCTTTACTTTGAAATCAAAGGTGAAGCGCATCAAATCGCAAAAGAGGGAATCTTTAAATTTTAAAAGAGCAAATTGGGATGCACTTAATGCAGACCTTGCAGATATTGACTGGCAGGCAGAGTTCACTGGTAATATGGAAACATCATGGAACAAGTTTAAGGAAGTTTTAGAGCAAAGAACCAATGAACATATTCCAAAGATTAAAATTGGAGGCAGGGCTCAACCTCCTTGGTTTGACGCTGAGTCTCATCAGGCCTGCCTAGAAAAAGAAAGGCTACACAAAAGTTATAAAGAAACCACGGACCCTTCCTGCAAGGCTGAGAAGTACTTTAAGTTCTCTAAAAGCAGAAGCGATTTTAAGAAAATTGCCTCCAACAAGATGGCATCTAGCTTTGAGGACGAGGATGATTCGAATCTAATTACAAAGAAATTCTGGTCCTATGTAAAAGCAACATCTAAGAATACTCGCATACCTGAACAAATTCACCTAGAAGATGTACACAAAAGTGATCATTCTGACCAAGCAAACCTATTTAATACCTTTTTTCATCAACAGTTCTCATCGCCTAGTGATTATGATGTACATGTTGATAACATACTCACACAGGATGATATTGATTATGTATCTACCCTTTTCAGTTCGTCTAGGATAGTAGATATTCTCAAGAATTTGAATACTAGAAAAGCTATGGGACCGGATAAAATCCATGGTGAAGTTCTTAAAAAATGTGCCTTTACGTTAGCCCCAGCACTGGAGATTCTTTTCACAAAGTGCTATGTATCCGGCTTCCTACCTTCAAATTGGAAATATGCAATTGTTGTTCCAGTACACAAGAAAGGCTCCAAGAATGACATTAAGAATTATAGGCCAATATCTTTGACTAGCTTAGTTATGAAAGTCATGGAAAGAATTATTCGAGATGAACTTTTGAGTAGATGTTATGATAAAATTGATCCTCGTCAACATGGTTTCCTGCCTCACAAATCTTGTGCAACTCAGATGGTTGAATTCTGCGATAGCCTATCCCTCTCTCTTAACAAGAACATTAGATCTGATATTGTTTACTTCGATTTTGCCAAAGCATTCGATTCCGTTAACCACGACTTAATACTATACAAGCTAAAATTTTATTATAACATCGATGGAATGCTTCTCCAATTTATGAAAAGTTACCTCTCCGGACGTCAGCAATGTGTAGTTGTTAATGGGGCTATCTCTGCAACCCTACCGGTGTTGTCAGGTGTTCCTCAAGGGTCAATAATCGGACCAACACTTTTTGTTCTTTTCATAAATGATATATATTCTGGACTTTCTCAGGGCACTAATATCCTTTTATACGCTGATGATACTAAAATGTGGAGAGAGATATCCCAAGAGGAAGACCACCATATACTTCAATGCGATATTAATTATCTCATGACATGGGCAAGAACTAATAAGATGAAGTTTCATCCTGATAAATGTAAGGTCTTAGCTATACTTAAGAGGTGGTCTCCCTTAGATGGCATTTTACCATTTACACGTTACACTTACTCTATGGGCCAAACTCTTCTTGATTATACAGATTCTGAAAAAGATTTAGGCATAATCATGACGTCTAATCTAAATTTTAGTAGCCAGGCCGATGCTCTATATGGTAAAGCTAACCAAAAATTTGGCATGCTTAAGAGAAATTGTCATTTTATTAATGATCTGAACAAGAGAAGAGTCTTGTATCTTACTCTTGTACGCTCAATATTCGAACACTGTCCCATCATTTGGCGACCAGCGTCCAGTAGCACTATCAATAGGCTTGAAGGATTGCAGAAAAGGGCCCTCAAATGGATTCGTAATGATTACGGTGTAAGCTATAGTGTAGAGGAAATCTATAATGCCCATTGTAAACAGTTAAATATTCTGCCCCTAAAGTACAGGTTTGATTACCATGATCTCAAGTTCTTTCATTCCCTAGTGCATCAATACCACCCATGCACCACTCTGCCTCAGTATCTTACTTTCTTCTCCGGGTCAAGCCGACTGAGAAGCTGACATCTTGATCACTTATCAGTAATATCTTCAATTCCACCTGGCTCAGCTATATCTAAATCTTACTTTTATCGAGCTCATCTCACT